GTAATAATAATAATATATATAGATATATATATAATATATATATATTAACATATGCATTTATATATATATATGTATATAAATAAATAACATACATATATAAATATATATTTAACATATATATATATATATATATATATATATGTATATATATACATGTGCATAAATACATACATTTACATATATACATATAATATTATATATGTATATATATATATATATATGTGTGTATGTATATATATATATATGTATGCCTGTACGTGTGTGTTCATGTTCGTGTATACTCGCTGCATATTCGTAATAGGTACGCAAATACCAATTGCTACAATCTACATACTCAATCTGTCAATTCTCCAACATACACAACACTCATACACAGGGCCAACCAGTAGCCATCTGGGCAAATGAGCTGAACTCTCACCTCACAGCCTTCACGTACGAGTTCTACGACTTTGATTTCTGTCCGACCGAGGAACTGAAAGATGAGCTCAATCTTGGTCAGAAGTTGTTTGGCGATAAGCTTGAGTACACGCCATATAAGGTGTGTTGGGGGATTCGAGTATGGGTATGAATTCAGCAGTTATTTGGCGATAGAATTGGGAGCATACATTTTTTTAGAATGTGGGGAGGTCCTAGGGCTTGGGTAGATAATTCAGTAGTTGTTTGGTGATAAATTCAAACACACGCCATATAAAGTGTGTTGGGATTTCAGAGTATTATATATGAATCCAGAAGTTGTTTGGTGGCAGATTTGGAGTATGTGCCAAATATGATGGGACGAGATACCAGGACATTGGTAGGTAATTTAAAAGTTGTTTGCTGATAAATTCCAGTAAACGCTATACTAGGTGTGTCGAGATTTGGGAGTATTATATATAAATCCCGAAGTTGAAATTGTTTGATTGAACTCTAGAACGCGCCATACAAGTTGTGTTGTGGTGTTTTAAAAATAGATAGCTTTTCAATGGACAATGCACTGGGCGATTAACTGGACAGCAAGCCATACAGAAGTGTGTGGGGTTGATATGAAAATTGATTTTGGGTCTCAAAATACCGTTGTATTTTTGAGGGGAGACCACGGCAAAGCAGTGCGACATGTAGTTTTGGCCTGAATATACAGCTCCGATATGGTGTGGCTGTTTTTGCCCGACAATTCGGGTTGTAAAACCTGTCAGATATTATTTGAAGTACACTATATCCGTTGTATTGAAGTTTTTTGACACAGGTAGAAAGGGAATAATAGTAGTGGTCAATGAGCCATGTCTATGACTTGCAGTCTAGTGCAGCATTCTCAAAGTGTCCGTGCGGGGGGTCCCCTAGTTTCTAGGCTATAACCTTGTGTCAAATCAAAGTTAGCGGTCATATTTAACACGCGCATGTACGCAACAGCCAATTGCAAAGTCTGGTAGCAAACGAAACGAAACAAATATCTGAACAGGAATTGGTTGGACCTCATTTGGTTAGAAGTGTCTCATTTGAGATACGTTGATATTGCCTATGGGTTCGAGGCTACTCCTCTCAGCGTTTAGAGATTAACAGATACTATTTCAATTGCAGGCGGAATTTGGAGTCGAGTTGGAATGCACGGAGTTGTGCACCAAGACCTACAGCGGCGATAACAAGGACGAATCCAAGAAACTGCTTAAAATCATCAACGCCATAAAGAATGAGTACCATCAGCACTGGTATGAGTGTTTGATTATATATATATATGTATATATATATGCGTGTCAAAGATATCTGCAGACAGAACCGTGCAATCGTGGAATCGTGTTAGCAACTGACGCTACGCACATGCTGTATATTTACACCTGTCTGAAAGCCAAGTACTTTGAATGCACCCTCGCTAAATGCGATCGAATCAGGTTTGCAGAATGACACCCCTCCCAGATTATGCATTGGGATGAGTCTACACCTTATCTTATTCCCGTGCTATACGTTACGTTCAGATCACAGCGTATGCATTGGGATGAGTCTACATCTTATCTTATTCCCGTGCTATACGTTACTTTCGCAGGATTATCGACAACCTCGATGTATCGTTCGGGTTCATATCTGCAGACAGACTCGACAAAGACACGAAGACCCATTTCACACACGAGTTCAGGCTGGGTTTCCCCCTGGGCATTCCCAAGGCGTATTTCAACCACTTCAACATCACCATCCTGTACCACACCCCCGAGACATTCCATTTCGAAGACCCCGATGTTAAGCTCATTGTGGGCGCCGAGCTGAGTGTGGATAGCATTCAGAACTGTAAGGACAGGACTAATTTGGTCCTAAAACCACCCACCAAGGGCAGCTCGCAGACAATTAACTACTCATACGAGGTGTGTGGGACTTACAGCTCTACCTATTATATGAGAATACCTGGTAATATGTTGGTACACACTCACACTCTCACTCACTCACACACACACACACACACACACATATATATATATCTTTATATCTTTATATCGTTATATTGTACTTGTATGTGTACAGAGTGTGGATAGCTCGACTTTTGCACAGACAGTACTACTCTTGTCCTACAAACACCCAATATGGGGGCACCAAACATATTATCAATTGGTCGTATGAGGTCTGTATATCTTACGACTTCATCTGCTGTGTATGATCATCTGGTGGTATGTTGAGACGTACAGCTGTGCTTTATTTACAGCAAACAACCTATCTATAACTTAATTGTACTAAGTGTGTTTCTATATCAGTTGACTATTCGAGTCTGTGGGTCTTGCAGTTGTGGCTGAAATATACTTATAAGCTCTTCAACACGCTCTACCTCGAGCCTGGCACGTCCATCGGATCCTTAGGAAGTGCTGCAAGCGGAGAGCATACTTGTCCTAACCATTCTATTTCTATCACACTAACCTGATATACTTCTCCTATCCTTTCTATTTCTATCGCGCTCACCTGATATACTTCTCCTATTCTTTCTATTTCTATTACACTCACCTGGTCCGTTCTGTTCTGTTAATATACCATCTATAGCTCTATTGTTTTGTCTCTTTTGTTCTTCGTCCCGTCACTCTCACTGGTTCTATTTATATCACATCCATTGCTTCGCTGTCCTTGTTCCTTTCTTCCCCATTATACCTACCTATTCTATACATATCAAATTCATTGCTCTGTTCTTCCGATCCAATTGGTTCGTAATTCGTCACACTCGCCTGGTCTATCAAGATCACATCCATCGCTTCCTTTCTGACCCCCCCCCCCCTCTCCTTCCTGTTTCTTCTTGATCTATCCACCTGAACTACTTATATTATATCACACCCATCCATAGCTCTATTTATTTATTTTCTCGCCCCTACTATTCTTTCGTATTCCGGTGCACTCATCTGTTCTATTTTTATCACATTCACAGGTGCACTGGGTTGAGTCCGACATTCCCTGGGCGTCGCGCTGGGACTCGTACCTCAAGGTGGATGAGGCACAGGTGAGCAAAACTATCTAAAGCCAATATTTGGCACATTGTTCTCTATTCACACCATATTTATAGCCAATATTTGGCTCATTGTTCTATCAATATTTGGCTCATTGTTCTATTCGCACCCTATTTATAGCCAATATTTGGCTCATTGTTTTATTCACACTCTATTTATAGCCAATATTTGGCTCATTGTTTTATTCACACCCTATTTATAGCCAATATTTGGCTCATTGTTCTATTCACATTTATGGCCAATATTTGGCACATTGTTTTATTCACACCCTATTTACAGCCAATATTCGGCTCATTGCTCTATTCACACCCTATTTATAGCCAACATTTGGCTTATGGTTCTATTCACACCTATATGCCATCTTTTTATGGCAAAGGAATCTTATCCATAGTATATGAGCAGTATCAGATACAGCCGATTGGTTGTTTAGGGTCCTATGTGTATACTCTCAAATTCCACTTCCCCCCCCCCCGAAAAGTATCGGTTTCTGGAACAGGTGCGCTTGATTACCATACTCAATATTCTTCATTGTTGTACGGGCAAGTACTCGCATTTCACGTATGTGTTACAACTGTCTTGTGGCTAATTACACCCCAGGTTCGTGCGAGAGACGAATAGTACAGCACATGATCATTCCCATATCCATAATTATTAGAAATGCATATGGCATCTCTACTACTACGTTCTAACATCTATTCTTTACACGTGCATAATTATCAGAAATACAATGGCATCTCTACTACCACGTTTTAACATCTATTCTTTATACCTGCATAATTATCAGGAATACATATGGCATCTCTACCACTACGTTCTAACATCTATTCTTTGTACGTGTGTACATACGACCGTTCTGTCAGGTGCGATGGCTGTCTATTGCCAATTCGCTGGTGATTGTTCTGTTCCTTTCTGGAATGGTGGCGATGATTCTCTTGCGCACTGTGTACCGCGACATTGCGCGCTACAACAGACTCCCCACCGACGCAGACGATCAGGTGTGTTTTGTATATATATGCATGTATTTTTATGTGCACATATATATATATATATATTTAGCTATATATATACATAATGTATATAAATATTGTTTACTATATGAGATAGTGTGCGTGTTTGTGTGTAGACACGCTCACAATAACTATATGGTGTGCATTAATCTGTACGCTACCTGTCCTGTTCTCAACAGTATCGAGTGCGCCGTAAAAGTTAGAGACAAGAAATTGAGAGAGACTAAAATGAGACACAGGAATTGAGAATTACAGAGGAATATAATTGACAGATATGCATACTCTATCGTTAGGCATTCATGTCCATGCCTGTGTGTACACGTACACAGGCGTATTATATCTTCTATATACATATCTATTGTGTACCTGTGTATATATATCTACATCGATGTCTGCTTTAAACTTATTTGTAAGTATATACGTTAGCATACGTTGGTAACAATCAAGAAATAACCGTACAAATACGTTTGTATATAACACCGTGTCTAGTTCTGTTTACAGTTACATACATATCTCACCCGACTTATATCGTTTTCGCACATACCCATCTACTACTATAATCGACAAAGCTGGTTATTATCGATCTTTGGCGTGTTCGCACGTTTCGCTTCGCTTCATTATCTAGACGGCTTTCTACTCACGTATACTTGCATACTCATACGAATCGTAAAACCCTAAAACTCTAAAAACTTGTAGGACGACGTCGATATCGAAGAAACTGGTTGGAAACTGGTCAATGGAGATGTGTTTCGCACACCCAGACATCCTCTATTGCTGTCTACTTTGGTGGGATCGGGTGTGCAAGTGGTAGGCATGGTGCTTATCCTGCTGCTGTTTTCTTTCTTGCATCTACTCTCCCCACTAAGACGTGGATCCATTATGACTGGTATGTATATGTATATATTTATGTGTGTGTGTGTATGTGTGTGTGTGTTTGTTTGTAAGAATGATATATGTATCTATGTATAGATATATATTGTATATTGTATTCGTGTCTACCTCGGTGGGATCAGCTGTGCACTGCATGGTATTCGGCTGCTGTTTTCTTTCTTGCATCTACTCTCCCCACTAAGACGTGGATCCATTATGACTGGTATGTGTGTCTATATATATATGCATGTGTGCGTGTGTGTGTTTGTTTATAAGTATGTATATATGTATCTATGTATAGATGTAAATTGTATATTGTATTCGTGTCTACCTTGGTGGGATCAGCTGTGCAAGTAAGTGGTCTGCATGGTATTCGACTGCTGTTTCTTTCTTGCATCTACTGCACGCTCTGAGACCTGAATCGGTTATGACTGGTATGTGTGTGTGTCTATATATATATATGTATCTATGTATCTGTGTATATATGTGTATACTTGTGTGCGTTTGTGTATGTCTATGCAACTCTACATTGAAGGAATTGGGTGGGCAAGTTGTAGACTTTATCTGATGCTTTTCGTTTCTTGTATATACCGTCTCCTCGAATACGTGAATCAATTCTGAATTGTAGATGCTTCTGTAGATATTCGTATATATATATATATATATATGTATTTGTACACGTATCTAGATTTATATCCATCTATCTATGTATCTATCTATTTATATACATGCACATGTGCATGTACATGTATATACACGTATATATATATATATATGTGTGTGTGTGTACGTGTATGTTTAAGTATATGTATATTTATATGTTTGTGTGTGTTTGTGTGTGTATACGAATATGTACAAGTATTGTATATAATCTCACTATTGAGGCCTCACTGTTTTACTATATGCTTATATTCTCACCCTTATATCCTATTATTCGTATTGAATACCTTTTCTCACCTCGCCTGTCCTCTTATCCTGCTTCAGGTGCTATTGTGTGGTTCGTATGTCTCGGTGCCCCCGCCGGCTATACCTCCGCACGTCTTTACAAAATGTTTGGTGGCGAATACTGGAAAATGAGCACTCTGTGCACCTCATTCCTGATTCCCGGCTCCACTTTTTTGCTGTTTTTACTGAATAACATCATACTTTGGGCTGAAAAGTCCCGAAATGCGGTCCCGTTTCTGGCCATGCTGAGCGTTATTTCGCTGTGGTTCCTGATTTCCGTGCCCCTGACCTTTTTCGGGTCGTACCTGGCCTACAAAAAGCCCAAAATCGAGTCACCCGTACGCGTAAACCAAATCCCGCGCCAAATCCCCCCGCTGCCGTTCCACATGAGACCCATTCCCTCGATTATGATTGGCGGCATCCTGCCTTTTGGAGCCATTTTCATCGAATTGCTGTTCCTGTTAAGCAGTTTGTGGGGCCACCGCCTGTACTTCCTGCCCTTCTTCCTGTTCATTGTGTACTCCATCCTGATTATCATCTGCGGCGAAGTCTCTGTTCTGCTGACCTACTTCCAGCTGTCTTTGGAGGTACGACTGAAACGCGTGTTTTTACGTGGATATACATACATACATACATACATACATACATACATACATACATACATACATACATACATACATACATACATACATAGTGGAGATGCGCGTAACTCAATGTTGTGTCTGTGTGTGAATCAATATAGTTAACCATGTGTGTCAATGATGCATGCCCGTGTTTACTTGGATACGCACTTAACTCAATGACGTGTTGTCAGTGTGTGAGTGATTATAATTGACCTACGTACACTTCATGAGCTTTTTGTGGTCGATTGTGTGTAAGTGGTTGTGCCAAAGGAGAGGTCTTCATGTTACGCTGAACCGTTTGCTATGTGTAACTAAAACATGCGGACAAGTGAGCACACGCACAGCCCCTACGCATTCACACACATCACATCCATCTATACTATGGGAAACTATAGGATTGCCAATGGTGATGGCTTTGTGGACTTTTATCGGGTGCTGCTGTATTACAATGCCATTTGATTAACCCCAAAACACACACTTTACAAATCAGGATTATAACTGGTGTTAACTTTCGTGACTATCATCGGGTGCTACTGTAATATATTGCCATTTTATTAACCCCCGAACACACTACAAATCAGAATATATTTAATTTTAGGGTTTATACTACAAATTAGGATTATATTCAATTAACCCCAAAGCACACACTGCAAATCAGGATAACCCCAAAACACACACATTACAAATCAGGATCAAATCTAATCAACCCCAAAACACACACATTACAAATCAGGATTATATCTAACTAACCCCAAAAATCACACATTGTCAATCAGGATTATATTTAATTATCCCCAAAATACACATTATACATATCAGGACTACCACTGGTGGTGGCGGTCGTACCTGTCGTCGGGTGCCACGGCCTTCTACCTGTTCCTGTACTGCACCTTCTACTTCCACAGCTCACACTGCATATCAGGATAACCCCAAAATACATACATTACCAATCAGGATTATATCTAATTATCCCCAAAACACACATTACACATCAGGACTACCACTGGTGGTGGCGGTCGTACCTGTCGTCGGGTGCCACGGCCTTGTACCTGTTCCTTTACTGCACCTTCTACTTCCACAGCTCTAAGGGCTTCAATGGCTTTGCCAACGCCTTCTTGTTCTTCAGTTATTCGACCATGATGTGCATCATCCTCTTTGTCATGACAGGTATGGTCGGGTTTAGGGTTTTAGATGTTTCGTCGAGTGATTCTGTTCGTATGTATATTCAGTGTTCAATTGATTGACTCTATTCGTATGTACAATCAGTGTTTAATTGATTATTCGTACGAATATTCAGTGTTTAATTGATTATTCGTACGAATATTCAGTGTTTAATTGATTATTCGTACGAATATTCAGTGTTTAATTGATTATTCGTACGTATATTCAGTGTTCAATTGATTATTTGTATTTTTATTCAGTGTTCAATTGATTTATTCGTATGGTTTTGCTCCGTTTTCATGATCATAACGAGTATTTTCTCATCGAATCGCCTGAACGCATACGGAACGAAATAGTCATGTCATTGATATGCATTGTTCTGCTGCGCTTGTTCGTATGTTATGACGAGGGTATTTCGAATCCTATGGCTGTAGCTGCTTCTTCGCTACAAAATCGGGAGACCTGCCCTGATTCCCAATCTTTAAGTTCGATATCGTGTTTCATTTTCTTGTATTCACAGTACTTTAGTTCGCTATCGTACGTGTCTAAGGCAGTATTGGTGTATCGCGTAGTGTGTACATCTGACGGATCCGTGTTTATATTCGTCTATGTCTGTGTGTAACTCTCGTTCACGAAATGCTTAGCGGAGTACTGCACAGCCGCCCCATTTAAAAAAACGACATAAAAATTGGTGCACAAATGGAACAATATAATATCAGTAGCTACGTGAAAGGATTTTCGTTGGAGCTTTGTCGTACACTACTATATAGCATCCAGCATATAAGCTGTATGTATATTGCTTGAGAGTTCTAGCTGTACCACCACTTGATACCGCATTTGAGTATAATATTTACATTATATATATATATATATATATGTGTGTATATTTATATATATATATATATATGTGTGTGTGTGTGTATATGTATGTATACATATATATA